ACAAAATATTACAATTTTCATGTTCTAGAATACGAAAAAAGTTATTCTTTGCTTTTTTATTTTTCAATTTTAAAAGAAAATCACATTTCAAATTATGTAAACGTTTAGAATTGTGTACCAACTAAATTCATGTTTTTTCAGATTTTTAATTTTTTTAATAATTATAAATAATTATCAAACATATTATAAACTAAAAATATGAAAATATGTTTTCTAATAGTTGTCAATGTTTTTTAATCATTGCTAAAAAAATAGAATACAAATTTTATCTATAATAGTTTTTTTAGTGTAATGTACAAAAGTCAACTATTATATAAGAATAGAATATTATGTATTGTAGGGGAGTTCTACGGTACCCAGGGTGAAATCCGGGTACCGCCTACCTTGAGTAAGAAAACTCTAACCCTTAAAGATCAAAATCTAGGTCTTAATTCTCTAAATCTTATACCACAAGATCAATTTAATTAGAAACAATAATCAATGCACCATGTTAGGGTTTATAGTTTATGATTTAGATAATTAGGACCTAGGGTTCACTCATTAAGGGTTAGGGTATAGTATCATGCCCAAAAATCTTGCTAATTCGAGGTCTAGATGGCGTTTTCATACTCAACGTATGCGGTACCCCAGATTTAACCCGGGGTACCGTAGAAGGCACTTATATTGTATCTTTTTTATCACATGAGTATTAATCTTGTTGTGATAAATTGCATGGAATATCTTATTCTATTGTCAAACTACTGAAATTGTTACAGTTTGAGCTCCTAGTTTGCACGATCAGATCCTAGTTATGATGATTCATAGACATGTTTTGTTGGGATTAATACCATCAAATATAATTAATCATGCTAGTTAAATGCTTGAAATGATGATAGTTTGAGCTCATAGGTCACAAGTTCAAATCTTGGTCATGATGATTGATATACATGTTTATTAAGTGTTATTTTAATATAATTAATAACTTGAAAAATGATAAAAATGAAATGAAAAATTGTGAAGCTTTCTGTCCTAGGTGGCAAAAAATTTCTCCACAACGACCATAATATAAGTTAAGAGATAAGATAGCAATTGGTGTTCGTCTCTCTTTCTCATTAATGTCTCTCTAACTGTTGGATCGAGAATACAAGGTCAGAGTATTTGGGCTGGGTCTCGTGTCTTGGGGAGTTGGGTCAATAAAGAGTCAGTAGTCAGTAGGAGTCCATAACGTGTTAGCTTTTTGTTAGTAGTGTCGAGTTGTTGCTTGTTTTAAGGACCGTTGTTGTTAAACAGTTCCTGGTTTTATGTTAGATAAGCCGAGCAATAGGGGTTGTGGCAGCTGGTTTTTAGCTTCCAGTTGTTATGCTTGATGTATTTAAACAGTACACTGAACCTTGAATAATATCATCAAGTTTGCTTGGCATTTTTCTCGTTTACATTGTGGTATCAGAGCCTCAGCAAACTGCGATTTGTGAGAGTGTGGGTAAAGGGAAACACGAGTGTGCTTGGTGAGGATTGTGTCTCGGGTGAGTGCAAACACGAGAGACTAAGTGAGGAAATACCAAGACAAGTGTTAGTGAGTAATCATGAATAAATCTGGTCTTGCCCAGGTTGGATTACCAAGGTTTGATGGTGATTATGATCACTGGAGCCTCCTTATGGAGAATCTGTTGAGGTCGGCCAAGTTCTGGCCAGTTGTTGCTGATGGCTTCCAGGAACCAGCTACTGGAACTGAACTTTCTGCTGCAGAAAGTAAAGAGTTGAAGGATCTCAGAATCAAAGATCTCAAAGCGAAGAATTATCTCTACAGCAGCATTGACAAAGAGATCCTGCGCACTATTACCAGGAAGGGGACTGCAAAGGAATTATGGGACTCCATGAAGCAGAAGTGCCAAGGAGATGCTCGAGTCAAGAAGGCTCAGCTCCAGAAACTGAGAAGGGATTTTGAACTCTTGGAAATGAAGCAAGGTGAGCCTGTGAATGATTATTTTGGAAGAGTTATGATTGTGTCAAATGCTATGCGGAATTGTGGTGAAGAAATGACTGATGGAAAAATTGTAGAGAAGATCCTCAGAACCCTTACCGAGAGGTTTAATTATATAGTATGTTCGATTGTGGAGTCTAAAGATATAGACTCTCTTTCAGTGGATGCTTTGCAAAGCTCATTGCTTGTCCATGAGCAAAAATTTAGCAAACAGTCTACTGGTGAAGAACAGGCTCTCAAAGTTGGGTATGAAGGAGGAAGAGGTAGAGGCCAGGGTCGTGGAGGATATCCTGGTCGTGGAAGAGGACGTGGTAGGGGCTGGAGCAGAGGCATTGTAGAGTGCTACAAATGTCACAAGCTTGGCCATTATAGGAATGAATGTCCTGAATGGGAAGCTAACTATGTTGCAGGAGATGGAGTTGCCAAAGAGGGTATGCTTCTCATGGCATGTGTTGAATCTCAGATTGATGAGACACATGCTTTGAAAACATATAAGAATTCTGCTGAGAAGATAACAGATGGTTGGTTTCTCGACTCAGGATGTAGCAACCACATGAGTGGTGAAAAGAAGTGGTTCTCAAACCTGGACAACACTGTCAAGTTGGGAAATAACACAAAGCTCTAGGTTCTTGGAAAGGGAACTATTCAGTTGATAATCAACAAAATTCCTCTTATGATTCAAGGGGTGTTTTATGTACCTGGTCTGAAAACTAACTTGTTGAGTATCAGATGCAGGAGAAGGGTTTATCCTTTCTGATTCAAAATGATAAATGCAGAATATATCATCAGGAGAAGGGGCTGCTCTTCCAGACTCATATGAGTGCAAATCGAATGTTTGTACTCTATGCAACTCCAGATAGAGGGCAGGTATCACAGGAGGCTCAATGTCTCAAGACATTTGCTGAGGAGACCATTGAGTTTCAGTTGTGGCATCGACGTTTTGGTCACCTCCATCATCAAGATCTGCAGAAGCTTCAAAAGGAAGGAATGGTGACAGGATCACCTCAGTTTCAAGCGACTGAGCACGCTATATGTGAGACCTGCATGACTGGAAAGCCACACAGAACACCTTTTCCCAAAAGGATTATATGGCAAGCAGCAACCAAACTCCAACTCGTGCATGCTTATTTATGTGGTCCCATTACACCCACCTCAAACAGTGGGAAGAGGTACATGTTCTCCATAATAGATGATTTTAGCAGAAAAATATGGGTATATTTTCTTGCTGCTAAGTCAGAAGCTTTTGAGGTGTTTAGAAGATATAAGGTGCTGGTAGAAAAGGAATCTAGTTGCATGATTGTTTGTTTAAGAACTGATAGAGGGGGAGAGTTTCTCTCAAATGAATTTAAGGCCTATTGTGATGAAACTGGGAAACGTAGGCAACTCACAGCAGCTCTAACTCCTCAGCAAAATGGAGTTGCTGAGAGGAGAAACAGGACAATCATGAACATGGTTCGATGCATGCTTATCGATACTAGTGTTCCTGCAGTCTTCTGGCCAGAAGCAGTAGCATGGTCTGCTTATGTTCTTAATCGAAGTCCTACCAAAATCAATAAGGATAAAACTCCCTATGAACTCTGGAATGGTACACCTCCTGTGGTGGATCATTTCAAAGTGTTTGGCTATGTAGGATTTGTTCATGTTGCTGATCAGTACAGGAAAAAGTTGGATGCTAAGAGTGTTAAATGTCACTTCTTTGGTATATGTTCTGAATCCAAAGCCTATAGAATGTACAATCCTAGTACACGGAAGCTTATTATCAGCAGGGATGTTCAATTTGATGAGAGCAAAGGCTGGACTTGGGACTTAGAGGTGCAACCAGTACCTACTCAGCTACTATGGGAAGGTTGTGATGAAGATATGCAGGAATCTGATGAGGAAAGTGAAGACACACCAGCAGATGAACAAACAAATTCTACTAGTTCTACTGCAACTCCAACAACTCCATCATCTCCAGCTACTTCGGATGATTCCCCACATAATTCAGATGAGGAGAATGGTGCTGACAGCCTTGGCTTACCACCAAGAACCAGGAAGCCTCCTTTTTGGCATACTCAGTATGATATGGGATAAGTGAGTCTAGATCCCAATGATTTCTATCTCCTTATGGCTGCTGCAGTAGATCCTATGACTTATGAAGAAGCAGCTCTTTACAAAATATGGAGAGATGCTATGCTACTTGAAATGCAGTCAATAAAAAAGAATGGCACCTGGGAACTGACTACCCTGCCTGTTGGCATAACACCAATAGGTTTGAAGTGGGTTTTCAAGACGAAGTTAAATGAGTTGGTGAAGTGGATAAGTACAAGGCACGGTTAGTTGCCAAAGGGTATGCACAACAACTAGGTATAGACTATGAGGTGTTTGCACCTGTAGCAAGATGGGATACCATTAGAATTCTGCTTGCTCTTTCTGCTCAACACAGCTGGCCAGTCCATCACCTTGATGTTAAAAGCGCATTTTTACATGGAGAACTTCAGGAAGAGTTTTATGTTATGCAACCTCAAGGTTTTGAGGTAGCAGGGAGGAAGACAAGGTGTACATGCTTAAGAAAGCCTTATATGGCTTGAAGCAGGCACCACGTGCCTGGTATTCTAAAATTGAAGGGTATTTCTTGGAGACAGGTTTCCAGAGGTGTCCTTATGAACACACTTTGTTCATTAAAAGAAGAGGAGCTGACATTCTTATTGTTAGCTTATATGTAGATGATCTGATGTGTGTTAGCAGCAATGACGATTTCCTTGTTGAGTTCAAGACTTCCATGAAGAGCAAGTTCGAAATGACAGACTTAGGAAGGATGAAATACTTCCTGGGAGTGGAGATCACTCAAGTTGCTGGTCAGGGAGTGTTCATTGGCCAAAAGAAGTACACTAAGGAACTTGTGGAGCGTTTTCAACTCCTGGAGAGCAATTGTGTGAAGATTCCTATAGCGCCAGGAGCTAAACTTACGTTGGAAGGGGATGGAGTTCTAGTGGATTCAACTCTGTACAAGCAGTTGATTGGGAGTCTGTTGTATCTAACAGCAACTCCACCTGACATAATGTATGTGGTTTGCCTACTTAGCATGTTCATGGCAAAACCAACAAGGCTTCACATGGTAGCAGCAAAAAGGGTACTAAGGTACCTCAAAGGGACTCTCGGATATGGAATAAGGTATAAGGCTGGTGCACAGAATGATCGCTTACTTAGTTATACAGATAGCGATTATGCAGGGGACATCAATGACAGGAGAAGCACGAGTGGATATGTTTTTTTCTTGGCTGGTGGACCTGTGTCGTGGGCTTCCAAGAAGCAGCCTGTGATGACTTTGTCAACCACAGAAGCAGAATTTGTGGCTGCTGCTTACAGTGCTGCACAATGCATTTGGATGAAAAGGATACTAAAGGAGATGGGATGGCTGGAAACTACAGGAGGAGGGACAAGGATTCTGTGCGATAATAGCTCTACGATCAAACTATCAAAGAATCCAGTTCTACATGGTCGTAGCAAACATATTGATGTTCGTTTCCATTTCCTTAGAGATTTGGTCAAGGAAGAAGTCATCAAACTGGAGCATTATGGCACAACTGATCAGGTTGCTGATATCATGACAAAGGCTGTAAAGATAGAAACTTTTGAGAAGCTAAGGGGAGAGCTGGGAATGTGTACTGTTGCTGAACTTCAGGGAGAAACAGATGCTGCTGCAGGAATGAGCATTTCTTGCCTTAAACTCAACCTCAGGCGGTTTGAGTTTAGGGGAGGATATGTTGGGTCGAGAATACAAGGTCAGAGTATTTGGGCTGGGTCTCGTGTCTTGGGAGTTGGGTCAATAAAGAGTCCAGTTAGTAGTCAGTAGGAGTCCAGAACGTGTTAGCTTTCTGTTAGTAGTGTCGAGTTGTTGCTTGTTTTAAGGACTGTTGTTGTTAAACAGGGGTCGTTTGGAGAATATGAGTTTAAATCTATAGATTGTCAACAATCTAAAGATTCTAACTCTTCGGATTGTTGAAAACAGATTTTAAAATGTTTATTGTTTGGTAACTGTGAGTTGTTAACATTCAAGTAAAATAAAAAATTTAATTTTATATTAAATAACATGTTTATCCTTAATAAAAATTAGATTGGTTCGAGAAATATAAAAACTTTGTTGATAAATATATTTCATGTGATAAAAAATAAAAGGATGAGAAAAATTAGGAGAGAAAAAATCTCAAGAATCAAGATATAGAATCTCTCCGATTATGAGAGATTTGATATCCGCAGATTTTAGAGATTTGAAATCTCTAAAGCTAGAATCCACAATACAAAAAGCAACAAAAAAACATAACTTTCTACAAAATCTACGGATTCAGTGAATCCATGTCCTGAATCATGTTCTCCAAACGACCCCACAGTTCCTGGTTTTATGTTAGATAAGCCGAGCAATAGGGGTTGTGGCAGCTGGTTTTTAGCTTCCAGTTGTTATGCTTGATGTATTTAAATAGTACGCTGAATCTTGAATAATATCATCAAGTTTGCTTGGCATTTTTCTCGTTTACACTAACACCCTGCCTCAATTAATTATTCTTGAAAACGGTAGCTCAATTAGTACAATATTGTCCGGTTTGGGCCAAACCCATACGTACCTACTTATGGTTTCCTTTTCAAAATTCCTCGTACTAATTGAGCTTGATGGACATTAATATACTAGGGTCATTCGCCTGGTATTTTCGATTTGGTACTTGGATTGCACTATAACAATCATCCCTCAAGAGAAGGACCACAAACTTCGTGTCCTCCCCTTAGCGATTATCTTGGTCCACTAGACACCTTGCATCGACAGACTTTTCGACACAAGGATTTACTAGATGTATATCTCCATTGATATGCTAGACAAACGGATATCTTCCTCGATCCGCCAAACAAAGAGAAATCTCAAATCTCGAAGTCACCGAATGGGGATCCACCGAACTGACGCCCACCGCCCTGGATCGAAACCAAACCATGCTCTAATGACCTTGTACTAATTGAGCTTGATGGACACTAATATACAAGAGTAATTTGCCTTGTATTTTTCGAACAAGTATTTGGATTGTACCATAATAATCCTCTCGTCAAGACAAGGACTTTCGTGTCCTCCCCTCTCCGATTATCTTGAACGCCAGACAACTTATATCGACAGCCTCTTCGATACAATAATTTACCATATGCATATATCCATTGATATGCCAGTCATATGCAAATCTTCCTTAATCTAGCAAACAAACCCAGATCTCAAATCTCTAGGTTACCGAATGAGGCTCCCAGTCCCACCAAACTAATATCCACCTCCCCATATTCAAACAGAACCAGACTCCGATACCACTTGTCTTGACTGGGGAGCTCCATTAATACGATATTGTCCGCTTTAGTTCAAGTTCGCAAATATTTACTTTTGAGTTCCTTTCCAAAAGACATTGTACTACTTGACCTTGATGAACATTAATATACAATGATTATTTTCTTTGTATTTCCGATATTGTATTTGGATTGCACCATAACAATTATCTTTCTCAATTTTTGCCTCCGTATTTCCTTCAGTAGAATATTAGTGTTAATCTCTAATTTTGCATTCCTCTGCTCACATTCATTGGATGAAAGAGATGAATGGATGGTTAAGATATAGGTTCTCACTGTACAAACCCTTATAAGGTTTGCACATATCATATTCTAGTTTTTTACCTGTAAAATATTTAACATAATTTTTATTACAGGATTGTGCATTAACTACTTTTATTCATTGTTAAAAAAAACTATCTTTTAGGTAAAGTTCGCATTTGAATTCTGAACTGAAAAAAGCATCACAGTAAAGAAGAATGAAACCGAAACTGAAACTGATAAAACTGAGTTTTAATAAATGATAACGCGGTATGGATAGAACTGTTTCAATTTAAATTAGTGATTGGTGAAATTATACAATAACTTATTCTGGACAAATTAGCAAAACAACAATATGATTGTGGTTTAACTAGTAGTATACATATGTAATGTTACAGTTAAAATGACATTCGAACGGCAATATAACACTATACTACCGATCGAAACTCACAAAATCAATCTAAGATATCAGACATAGACAATTCAATGTTGTGGTGTGTACCGGTCACGGTGGACACAACATGGCATGACAATTCACGCATGTATGTAGTAAACACAACGCAGACGGTCCAAAAAAGAATTTCAAGAACAAGAAAGCAAAAAAAAAAAAAAAAGTGATCAACTCGCTGCCACATAACTCAATGAATAACAAACTGAAGACACCCCCATTGCCATTGGCAAAAGTCTTTTTTTTATTATTCTTTTTTCTACTTCAAGCTCTGATACAGCGAGAAGAATACGCAGATTCTCAGGCATTAGATGCCAAAATCCCCGATTTTGCCTGCCCAATTTGATTTTGCAGCCCCTCCCTTTAAAACCACCTGCTTCTTTCTCGACCTCTCCCTTCTGCTTTCTTCTTACACAGAAGAGACGAGAAGATCTACTCTTTTAACACCCTGAAAAAACAAATCGGAAATTCATCCTCCTTGTCTCCTCCCACTTTCCACCTACTCCACAGCAGCCCCGAGATATATAAAAATAACCCAAAGAAAGGCAAGCCACGCGAGATTGTTCATATTCTTCTGGTTGGTCTGGGATTAGTTAACTACACATTTGCGTAACTGGAGAGGGCTTTTTCTGGTGTTGTTGATTTCGTGCTCTGTTATTCTTTCTTCCTTCCTTCCTTCCTCATCCGCGTGTCTTTGTCTACTCATCCTCCATCCCCCGGCGCATTCTTTATTTTCTCGTGGTGGTTCAACTCCCTCCGCCCTAACCAGTTTGATCCTGAAAGCTTGCCTGCCCCTTTTCTTCACAAGTTCCAGTCTTTTTTACGTGTTCGACCTGTCCATTAGAGGAACTGGGGGTTTGTTCGAATTGGGTAATCAATCGGCTTGCTTGATTTGGAAAGTCGCGTAGTTTGCCACTCTTTTTGGAACTGTGCTCGTTTCTGGAACAATAATTTCGGAGGTAGAGGGGATGATTCTGAAGTTGAGCCCTCCTCATCAGCCAGGGTAGGGAAACTGTTCTTTTTTTGTGTGTGTTCTGCGTTTTGGAGAAATGGGTCGCCGTTAAAGTTGGAGCGGAAACGAGCGTTAGTGTCTTCCCCGCCACACCCAATGGATCTGGAGACGGGAGCTCATCGTAATCATCTTAAGGTGAGATGGGTATTGCTTATTTCTCTGTTTTAAACCGCTGGCATTGATTTCATAGAAGTTTCTGTTTCTATTTCTCAGTGTTAATTGGCAGAAAAATTCAAGGTTGGTTCTTGAAAACTAAGCGCCTCTCTTGTTACTGTTCTTGTTTTCTTTGGCGAGCAGAAGGAATCATGGCGGACGGTGTTGACTCTGGCGTACCAAAGCCTAGGAGTGGTGTATGGAGACTTGAGCACATCGCCGCTGTACGTCTACAAGAGCACATTTGCGGAAGATATTACGCACTCGGAGACGAACGAAGAGATCTTTGGGGTTCTGTCATTCGTCTTCTGGACACTCACCCTCGTCCCTCTCTTGAAATACGTGTTCATAGTTCTCAGAGCCGACGACAATGGCGAAGGAGGGACGTTTGCCCTCTACTCGCTGCTGTGTCGGCACGCCCGAGTCAACGCGCTCCCCAATCGGCAGGTGGCGGATGAGGATCTGTCCGAGTACAAGAAGAAGGACAACCTTATTGCTACTTCCGGCTCGAAAACCCCGAGTTTTGGGTCGAGCTTGAAATCGACTCTGGAGAAACACAGGGTGCTGCAGAGGATCTTGCTGGTTTTGGCCTTGATTGGGACTTGTATGGTCATTGGCGATGGCGTTCTCACCCCTGCCCTTTCTGGTAATGTTTCCACCATACCCTTTTTCTGGGGTTTTCGTTTTTTCTCTAATCGATTGATGGTTTCGTTTTCTTGCTTGGACAATTATTATTGTGTGGGGGTGTTTGATGTGATTGTGTGGTGATGGCAACTTGGTTGATGTGGCGCTTCCATTTTGGTTTGCAGTTTTCTCTGCAGTCTCGGGGGTTGAGCTTTCATTGTCAAAGGAGCATCACAAATGTAAATTATCATTTCTTTCTCCTTCTCTTATGACCATTCATTTTCCTTCTCTGGAATTTCTCAGCCGACTGCTGCCATGCCATGAGAAATCAACATTTATAACAAGTTGATCAAGCTTGACTTGTTTGAGACTTGAGCTGCCGTTCCTATCATCTAGCAGAATAGTTTGAATCTTGGACTGGTTTTACTTTTGACTAGCTTTGAGTTCCCTGCCAAGTGCCAACCCCATCATGGAACTTTCAAGTTTCTTCCTTTTTCTCGGGACAGTGTGGAAACCTCTATTTGTAAAGTCACGTTTCTGTTGTCGGTTACCTTTTCCTATTCAAGAATGACCTAATCTGACTTGTCTGCTTCTGGCTTGTAGCTGTGTAGCTAGCTAGTAGCTTCATCACCAGACTTGAGCTTTCCAAGCCTCAACTAGTGCATTATTTTTCCATTAAACTGCTTGTGTTCTTGATTGATTACAGGAACTTAAGTGTAGCATTGTATGAATGTGCAGATGTAGAACTCCCAGCTTCATGCGCTATACTTATAGCGTTGTTTGCCCTACAACATTATGGGACCCACCGGGTCGGATTCTTGTTCGCACCAGTGGTTCTGATATGGCTTCTGTGCATCAGCGGGATTGGGATGTACAATATTGTGCACTGGAATCCCCATATCTACAAAGCACTATCACCATATTACATGTACAAGTTCCTGAAGAAAACTCAAAAGGGTGGATGGATGTCATTAGGAGGGATTTTGTTGTGCATAACAGGTTCATT